GGTTTAATAGGTTCGGAGGTCCCTATATTTGCGGGTTCGTTTCACTTGGGTCCTCCAATTTTAAAAGTGATCAATTAGGTCCCTAATTTAACAAAATTGAGTCAATAATACCCTTTCCGTTAAATGCAAATCTGAATGCAAATTAAAAATTGCAGAAATTGCCACGTATTAAGCTCAAACTCTGCCACCTGCAAATAAAATGATGCCTCAGCATGCCACCTGTTTAATTTGCATTCAGATTCCCTTGCATTTAACGGAAAGGGTATTATTGACTCAATTTTGTTAAATTAGGGACCTAATTGATCACTTCTAAAATTGGAGGACCCAAGTGAAACGAACCCGCAAATATAGGGACCTCCGAACCTATTAAACCTAATATTTTCTTCTTAACATATTCTTTTACATATTAATATTCTAATCTTAAAAAATCCTCTTATTTTTTGTAAGATAATCTTATTTTAAATATTCAATGCGAATTTTAACACTAGAGCTAAAAATTATATTATAGTGTACATAATCCAATTTCTTTCATAAAGACATAAGATTTGTGGAGAAATCCATTAAGTTATATCAACTATGTTTTTCATTTTTACTACAACGACGTTGTTATCTTTTTAAAATAAATAAATAAACATTTTTTATTATATTAATCAAATTGCTTTTGTTATGGTGCAACTTGCGTGCTAATAACTCTTCCAAATAACTCACATGTCAGAGTTAAATACGCAGAAACTATTTGTCCTTTCAACCAATTTACCATTTATAATGTCTTTTACATACCATAGTTTACTTCAAGTATTATATACATATACAAAGACTTATATATTCTTTAAACTATCATTTTTTTCCTCAAATGAATATTGGGTACCTTTTAGTATACCTTCTATATGTTTACACAAAAACTTTCCTATTATTATTGATGGTCAGAGTAGATACTCTAGGATTTATCTTATGAAGAAAAATAGTGAAACTATAATTTTACTTTATGGCTTTGTTACATTTATCCAAAATTAATTTAACAAAATCAGTAAGAGCATAATAACTAACAATGCCAAGAATTCAATTATAAATGATTTTTATGACAATACTAGCATAATACATCAAACTTCTTACATTAGAAATCTAAAAAAAACCTAAGTGGAAATGAAAAATTAACATCTTCTGAAAATTACGCGATACTGCCTCATGTTTCAATCAAAACTTCCAAAGGTTTTTGGTCTTTATGTTATTGTGCATGTTATCGACTTTTATAAACAAACTTATCCTATCATAAATAACAAATGTCCTTTTCAAGTGTTTTAAATTAGCACCCAGTCTCTTAAACTTACTAGGTCTTCAAATGTCTTTATTTTGTCTACACATCTAAAAGGATAATAATATATTAATATAGATTTTTTACAACATTTTAATATTATTTTTATTAAAAAAATAATTTTAAGAATAAAACAATTTTTGTTAAAAAAATAAAATTGATAATGAAATATGTACACTAAAAAAATTATTGAGCAAAACAATTCCTTCTATATATATATAGTTATATATAGATAAAATTACACTATTAATAATTTCTTACGTGGACGGTGGGCCAGTTCGCAAATCCACAAACCGTATGGAGGACTAGAAAAATTAATCTGATTTTTTTATGCCGAAGGGACTCATCCAACCTGCCTTTTGGGAGCCAAATGAAGGACCAATCAAAACGGTTTGCTTGCATTGGCATTCTTATTCAGCACCAAACTATCATCCTCCATTATAGAAATCGGTCATATTTCATTTGTGCCATCCCTTGTGGACCAATACTCATCCAAATACCTTTAAGTATTTCTCACAAACTTCCACACTACCCTTTAGTTCTACAGGATTCCTACAGTGGGAGAGGGAAGGATCCTCTATAACGAGTCTTCAAGTGTTTGCAGTACATAGTTCAATGTGTTTTTTTACAGCCATCTTCTTTACAATTTTAATTGATAGAATCATTATTTTCATCCTATTTGAGATCTTTTTCTTCTGCCATGTTTATACATCAACATTAAAACCACTAATTATGATAACGTAATCATCCCAAAAAGCTTAATTATTCAAAAACCATGGATTAATAGTAATACATCTCGATAGCCTGATCGTGTTGACCAAGATGATCGTGACAAAAAGAAGGAGAAGAAGGAGGGACAAGTAGAATGGGAGGAGATGCTCAGAGACTTAATCATCTGGTTTTTAAACGTAAGGGGCAATTAAACACAACAATAATTCAAACATAAGAACAAAAACAAACACAAACACACATCAACATCATGTTAATTAGGGCCAACATCATCCAGGATTAAGAAATAATATTAGGTTATTTTGATTGTAGTAACTAAATAAAACCAAAAGTGTTTGTTTGTGTTGTGCACCCACAGATAAAGAATGAAAGAGGTCCACTTGTGTATAAAATAAACTGTGAGTGGGTGCCTGAGAGCAGAAAATAGGTGGAGTATCCAAATACTGATGCTAGTGGCTGCACATATTAAAAGCACAAAGAAACAAACTGCTTACAAAGGCTTAAAGCTACACCAGCTACAAAGTGGACCTCAGTGCTTTCCATTGTTTGAAGTCTTGACCTAAGACCAAAGTCACCAAAACTCTAACGCATTACACAACAAAGCAAAACTAATAGCAGAGGATATGGTTATTATGCTTGTGCTAATCATGCTTCATGCGTCGCTCTCGACTATTGACTCATTGGTTTTCTATTCAATAATGCATCTGAATAATTCACCACCCTTTTTATCCACAACTTTACATTGTTTCGTCCTCTTCCATTAACCCCCTAAGAGGAACGAAAGTACACCTCCTGAATTTTGCAGAAAATCGGAAATAAACAAAGCTAAAAGGATATTTGTCATTCCGATATTGATCGGGATTTTACGTCCAATTGGTGCTGTCACATAATCAAGATCAGCTCCATCATGGATCCAAATCATTCTCTAAAAGTAAACAAGCACCTCATTGGAAATCATCTACTGGGGCACTACTTTTCTTCCTCATCTTCTGACAAAGAACAGAAAAAAATTGTCGACAGAAAAATCTACCTCGTAATTATAGTTTATTAGTAATAATCATGTAAAATAAACGAATCACGAAAGAAGAAAATAAAAAAGAAACAATTGAACGATATTATTATAAAAGGTACTCCATGATGAGTAACACTCCAACTATGCAAAAAGATAGTAATAATTGAAAGCAGACACCGACATTTTAAAGAATTTGAGGATCAAGTACGTTGATTACTGTGACTCTCCCACTTGGTTACGTGAAATAACAGACGTCCTATTTGAGTGTATAAATATAATGTATACTATACTATTAATTTTCTATGCACCAATTCATGTACACGCCACTCCACTATATAAACACAAGCTATCTGTGGTGCACCAGTGTGCTATCTTATTCTTGTGCCTCAAGAAATAGGCTAGTCCCAAGCAGAAACAAGATGGCTTGTTATCAACAAAAACTGTTTGAAAGACTGAAGCCATTCATAGGTGTAGTTTTCTTGCAGTTTGGATATTCTGGTATGGATGTTCTATCCAAGGCTGCACTCAACAGGGGAATGAGTAACTATGTATTTGTTGTGTACCGTCATGTTTTTGCCTTTGTTGTCATGGCCCCTTTTGCAGTGTTCTTGGAGAAGTATGTTTTTCTCTTCCATTTATGTGTGTACGATTATTTGTGTGAACATGTTATTGAAGTAATGCTGCAATACTTTTAACAGGAAAGTGAGGCCGAAGATGACGTTTTCGATCTTCATGAAGATAGTGATTCTCAGCCTGCTAGAGTAATTTCATGCATGCATGCTTTTTACACTTTCTGCTAACCATGCAATATTCATGCACTTAACTCTGTCATTACTTTCTTATGGCAGGCCAGTTATTGATCAAAATTTATACTTTTTGGGAATGAAGTACACCACAGCAACCTTTGCTGTTTCCATGTACAATGTTCTCCCTGCCATTACCTTTGTCATGGCTTGGATTCTTAGGTAAAATTCTCATGCCTTTCAACAATTCAGGTTTATGTCTAAAAAGACATCATAAGTTTTGTTGGATTCTATTTTTGAGGGTGTATGATTACATAAATATAATATGAGCTCAACTCATACAAGAATGGAAAACATTTTAAACTCAAAACCTCAAAATATTGAGTTTGAGTTTTTTTTTTATAATATTTAATTTTGCTATTTCTAATCAATGAGACTTAAGTTCATTGTATTTCTAACAAGCTTTTTTATTAGAGACATAGTAACATTAATACAAAGAAGGTTGTATAATTATTTTGTATAACAATAAGAAAGCTGGAAAGAGAAGAAAGATGAATATCATGATAGAAAGAAATTAAGAGAAAACAAATTATAGAAAGTGTAACAAGACTTTTATCATTAAAAAATTACAAATTAAAGGTATATATATATATATATATATATATATATATATATATATATATATATATAGCATTCCACTAGACTAGACTGATGGAGAGTATAAAATACGTGTAAACCACTTATGTGTGAATAAAACGAATAAAATATTCTCACCAATTTTGTAGTTGCTTGATTATCTTTTTCTTTTTAACGCATTAACTTGTTTAGTTTGCTAGAAAAACATCTAAAGTAGAACAATTAACATTGAAATATACAAATCATGTTATGTCTGTAACTGGATGCATTAGGAACCACTTCAATATCTATCTGTAAAACTCAAAAAAATGTTACATGAAGCGAACTCTATGTGCTATTTTCATGAAATCTATCTGAAACTTGAGTGGCAATCCCAGGCTTGAGAAGATAAAATTAAAAAGCACACGCAGTCAAGCAAAGGTGGTGGGAACTTTAGCAACTGTTGCAGGTGCCATGATCATGACACTGATAAAGGGTCCAATACTCGATCTATTTGGAACACACGCCAGCAATACAAACAACGTGCAAAATGGTGGGGTAAATCTTGAACATGCAATAAAGGGATCAGTGATGATCACAATTGGCTGCTTTAGTTGCGCTTGTTTCATGATTCTCCAAGTGAGTCATCATCGTCGTCATCATCATCTATCTATCGCTGTTGATAGAAGAATGAATCCCAATCACATTCTTCTTCTGATTTCATGGGGTCACTAATACAATTTCATCTCTTGCTCTATCTAGGCTATTACCATTGAAGCCTACCCTGCTGAACTCTCTCTTACAGCATGGATATGCTTATTGGGAACGGTTGAAGGTGGCATAGTGGCACTGGTTATGGAAAGGAATAATTTTTCAGCTTGGTCTCTGAAATGGGATACAAAATTGCTTGCTGCTGTCTACAGTGTAGGTTATTTACTTTTATGGCTGATCAAACATAAGAAAATACAAATCTACCTCTGAGTTTAAGAAAATAATACATAAGTTTGTTTCAAAGTCATTAGGTCCTGAAGGTATCATAATTATGTCTGTTTCTGCATGGCATGCATTTAAAGGTTTTCAATTTAGGAGAAAAAAAAATTACAGACACTTTGTCATTTGGTTATTAATTGAGAATCACTGGTCCAGGATCACTCAAGAATTTCTTGCTCCCACAGAGGGTTCACTGGATCAGCATTGCCATCCATAAACTATATATTTATTGCAGACACTATAACAGATTAACTTTAAAATAGAATTTATAAATGCCACTACACTACCTTCATGCATAAAGTATCAAATTTAATAATTAATTTTGGAATATTTTATCATGTCTAAATTTACAAAGTATTCTCATGCAGGGCATAGTTTGCTCAGGAATGGCTTATTACATCCAAGGAGCTGTGATGAAAGATAGAGGTCCGGTCTTTGTGACAACTTTTAACCCTCTCTGCATGGTCATTGTGGCTATCATGGGCTCCTTCTTTCTGGCAGAACAAATGTACCTTGGAAGGTAATAGGAAATCCAATCACATGCCCAGAAAACTCACTAAAAACTCATAAGAAAATTAAACTAAATAAATCTGAATTTTTTTACAGGGCAATTGGTGCTATCGTGATTATTGTAGGACTGTATCTGGTGGTGTGGGGTAAAAGCAAAGACTACGAGTCATCAAGTACGATTACTGAAGAGAATATGTTGTCAGCCAAGCAAACAGTAGAAAAGAGCAATAGCAAAGAAGAACATTTCAGTAACTTAGGCACCATAGCACGAGATGAACAAGTATGAGGAAACATAACAAATTCAATCTAAATTTCGGCAATCAGGGATATTTCACCATCCAAACGCCTATTTGACAGAAAAATGATATACACGTTCTTAGTTATTTCATCCTTCAAATATTATGCAGTAGTAGAGTTTTTCAATATGTACCACACTCTGGTATGTCAAAAGGCAAGTTTTAATATAAGGCAAGAAAATCCCAACAAAAGAAGACTGAACAATTTCGAATACTAGTTATATTGATGCAGAGCTCCATATCAAGGATCAATTTCTAATTCAGAATAGCTACAAATTTCAGAGGCTGGAGATTTATTTATTCCAACCAGCTCACTCACCAATTCACTTGAAATGACACCATCCAATTAACAAGTGAATCTAACATAGTGAAATTTGATTTTCAATTCTGCATAACTAATAGTGAATGGCTCAACAGGCATGTATGATACTATAAAACAGGGTTTGGTGAAAATCATTTTTCTACATAAGGAGGTTCAAAAAGCCAAGTCGGATAGTAGACCTCTCAAATTTGACTAAACAATGCCTCTCATCATCGAGAGAATCTCACTTAATAAGAATCTTTAACATTATATAAAACTTTTCCTATAGCTCTGCAAGGAAACTTTTCCTAACACAACTGATTTGTAGTTATTCAAATATGTTAGTCAATGAAATAAAACAAGTAAATAGCTCTGTAAATCTATTCAAGTAAATCTTATGGTGAAACTATTGGAAAACAATAAAGAAGAAATGAAACAGAGGTTTAGTTAATCTCAATGACAAGTCCATCGTGTCAGGACTAAAAAATGCACTATGAACAAGATCACTGGGTTACAATAAATTACCCTAACATAATTTAGACATATCTTTCATGGTTCCCTTTTGTTCTCGACAAGGATGATTTGTCCACCATTGAGGAAATATTTAAACACCTGCGCTGTTGTTGATAATCAACGAGGAAAGGTGTCTACAATCCAAACTATTTACTCATATGAACACTAACAGAGGAAACTTCTGCTTGAAGATTTGAAGTGCTTGTTGAAGCAGTAACTGGGTCAAATAACTGGTCAATAAAATGACAACTAAAAGCATGAACAGTTTCCCCAAGAAGTATTGGCTCAGGACATTCTTCTCAAGATATGTTATGAAACCTTCACTGCCTGTAGCCTATTGGAAAAATACACGCACCTGATAGTTTTCCATGAAAGCAAGGTCTCGTCCTTCAAAAATCCAGGATTCTTTCGCTGCCAAAATGCCTGATTCTGGAAAGACTAACACGACAAAAAGTTTCTAAAAAAGGTGAAAAGAATTAGACTGTTGGTTCAAACACGAGGAGAGGAGGGATTCTTATGTGTGCTTTAGATAAAATAAAGGCTTAATTACCTACTTAGTCCCCATGTTCGGAGGTAATTTGCTGTTTAGTACCCGGTTTTAAAAATGTAGGCATTTGATACCTATGTTTTGAAATTTGTATCAATTGAATCCTACCCACTTAACGCCGTTATAAATGTAACGTTTTTCTGACTTTGTATGTGATTTGTGGACGAGCGTTTGTGGACGAGCAATTGATAACGCTCGCCCTGTGGACGCAAGTACGTTCAGTGGACGCTCGTCCAGCGAAGCGAACACCCAGTCAGGCAGAAGAGGACGCTCGTCCAGCGAAGCGAACGCCCAGTCAGGCAGAAGAGGACGCTCGTCCAGCGAAGCGAACGCTCAGTCAGGCAGAAGAGGACGCTCGTCCAATGAAGCGAACGCCCAGTCAGGCAGAAGACGACGCTCGTCCAGCGAAGCCAACGCCCAGGCAGAAGAGGAGGCTCGTTCAGCGAACTAAGAGGACGCTCGTCCACAACCGCTCGTCCACAAATCACATACACAGTCAGAAAAACCGTTAGATTTATAACGGCGTTAAGTGGGTAGGATTCAATTGATACAAATTTCAAAACATAGGTATCAAATGCCTACATTTTTAAAACCGGGTACTAAACAAAAAATTAACTCAGAACATGGGGACTAAGTAGGTAATTAAGCCTAAAATAAACTATGACTAGTAAGGATAGGAACACCATTAGTAAAGTGAAAAATTCACTTGCTGATTTAAGTTTATAGGAGTAATAAAAAGTAATTTCATTATTTTTAAACTCCAAAAAAGGTTACATTTTCTTTTCAATATTTTATTATCATATCTTTACTCTTTATTATGTTTTTCCATTTGAAGATTTTCTTTTCATGAAGTGTAGACTTTATTTTCTTGGATATAACCGGTTCCTGTAAATAGTATTTACGAACAAAATTAATATTTGATTCAAATAATTAAAGAATATTCATGAGAAAGCAACAACAATAATAAAGTAAAATAAAAAGTACAAACAATAAAAAAACAACACCTTTAATAAATGCAGAAAACCTTCTCAGTGCATAGTGACAAACACCATCAATGTTTGTTCTATACAAATAATACAAGTTGAACATTGTATTAAAAAATATCAAATATCGATATATTAATAATAGTAATAAGTATTGCTTTGATTACAATTTAAAATTTACAAATATTATCAATCAACATTTTCTTCTTCAAAATTTCCTGAGTTATTCATAGTATATTGACAACTATCCTAGCCGCTCGAGAAGTCGAGGTGTTTGGCCATAGTTCCAACACAAACCTCTTAACTAATCCCCACAAAAAACATCAGGGGTTGTTAGGGTACACGAAAATGAATACCCGAAAGACATGGATATATACCAAAGTGCACCATCTTGGACTGCGTTTGCACTTGAAGGTGGTATCGATCCGAAAACTACCTCTGCCTAGTGTCTTACGGACTTAAAACCTGGGAACTGTGTCGATGCAACTTTGAGCTCTCGTTAGCAGGAAGAGTTGCTCTTCTGCTTGGACTTTAGCAGCACTAGTTGATGACAACGCAGTACTTGTCAAGGGTTTTAACGTACAGGACCTGGGAACTCGATATTTGCTCGTCAAGTCCACTTCAACAGAGAATAGTGAATAAACTGGCCTGTGGTCTGAGAACTTGGACTCTCCCCGAACATACCACATCTGATTCAGACTTTCTCCTTTCCAAAGAATTCGATCGCACCTGATTTCACATCCCGCACAACCAATTTTGTCTCCGTTAAAAGAACTAAGCAATACAACAGTAATCATATAATTAATGTTACGTTTCAAAGGACTTTGCCCTTGGTGGATGACAAAGCCCAAACTATAGATGAATAGGGAATTCTCAAATCTTACCAAGCAGGAGTTCGTCGTTTTTCCCTGGATTTGGAAGATTGGGCAACATAGTGATCAGAATTGGTCATGTATTTGTAAGTAGGAGCAAAGTATATGTCCCCTTCATTCCAACCTTTGAATACTCGACCAGCCCTCTGCTCTATCCTTAGCTGCCAACCCAAGTAAACACAATATATAGTGTTAGCAAAGAGATTTTAAGTAATAAACTAAAACACCAAAAATCATAGCAAACATATTACCTGATCCTTCTCCAGTAATGCCTGCCAATTATTCTTCTTTAGTAGTTCATGTGTGTCCTCATAGCCAGCAGCTAGTCGATAATTCAAGTCGCCAAGCCAAATAATATTACTATACACATACCAAGAAAATTCAAATGATGATCAGAACAGATTAAAAGAAACTAAGACTAAAAGGTAAAAATTGTATAAGTAAAGAATTTACTCGTGTTCCAAAATACTTTCAGGAGGGAGAGAATGAGGAAGAGATTTAAAGGAGTGAGAAAATTTGGTTTTCTTCAAGATTTCCGAGACGTCCAAGTTTCTTCGCAATTCGTCACCAAATTTCTCCCCAGAAGCCAAGTGGGTGCAAACGAAGCAGAACGTGGTGTTGTACAATGTCATGCTAATCGATGTTGAACCCTGTTAACAAGCAGAACAAGTAAATAAAAATTGCAAACTCTACTTGTCCACAACGTTTATGTTACATCTCAATCAGAACAAAAAACAAAGGTCAAGTGCTCACCAGTATCCTACTATAGTATAGCCATTTTTTAGTGATGAAAAAAAATTACGAGAATTGCATGTCATGAGAACGTAATTAGAAAATGGATTTACATTCACCTTATTTCCAAGATAACCCATGATGCCTCGGCCAACACAGGACACTTTCAAATTGGAAACATGGGTGCAAAGATCCGCTCGAACCCACACGCACAAGAAAATACCAACCATTTGCTTGCTTGCTGCTAAGCAATAGCGTCGTGGAGTCTTAGGAAACTTTTCTCCATTATCCAACTCACCATCTAAAGGGACAAAATCTGAAAAACTTTGCCTACACTTGAGGTCGTGGTCACCATTGTTCTCATCATCGTCATAGTTGTTGGTGTTCAAGGCTTCATGCATAAGGCCCAACCACTTCGCCGCTGGGCCACTGTCCTCCGGCCCAAGTACGTTCCCAGCATTTAGCGGTACGATTTCTTGGAACCTAACAAAATTCACGCCAATAAATCAAATGAAAACAACTCCACAACAATGCTAGTCAAAATTAATGCTACGCCCACTTTCCTTTTTATCTCTCTTTCGAAGTTATTTTTGCACCAACCAAGAACACAATAAATCTTTTCATTGAATTTTCTATTTTATTCATTTCTCTCTTCATTTAACAAAATAAGTTATTTAAAGATTAGAAAATACATGACATTATAATTAATAATTGGTGTATTGAACTTTATATATAATAAATAAAGATAATAGTTCTACGAAAAATTCGATACTAATGAAGTATGAGGGTTAAGTATTACTACTGTTTACTGAGGAAGTAAAACTGATAGCATGAGGTACTGTAGAATATTAAAATATAAAATGTGTAAAGTCCACTAGGGTTCCAGAAAAAGCTAAAGTCAACTTTTGATGCTGTAACCGTTCTGAGATTTCTCATTCAACAATTTTTTCTATAGAAAAGAACAATTAGAAGTAATTACACAGTTTTGTGCGGTTGCAAAATTATTGCATAGTCAATTTCAATGTATAATTCTGAATTTTAATGTAAATAAAGAAAATAAAATGTTGTTTTAAGATTCTTTTAAGATATGTTGATGTTACTTTAAGAATAAAAATTACTTCTACGTTCTCTGAATAAAATCCAACTATTATTCTACGCATAGATCATTTTTAACATATATATATATATATATATATATATATATATATATATATATATATATATATATATATATATATATATATATATATAGACACATATAGTCCATTCTTTTGTTTTTATACTCTGACGGTTTGGTCTTCTTCTATTTGTCAAACATTTGATGATTTAAGAATTTTAAAGTCTCATTAATAGTGTTTTAAAATATGCAATTATTTAGCATCACACAGCAAACATCAAACAACAAGTTATTAAATAAGGATCTTGTAGTTCAAATACGATACAAAGTAATAGTTATATTTTTATTAAATAATTTGCAACACGTGCCTGTTAACATTAAATATACTTTAGCATAAAGAATTAAGTGATAGTGAATTGTAAAGAATATACTATATTTATAATTAAAATAATTTTTTATTTTAAATAAAGAAATTTTGACCAATAATACTGAATGAAATGATTTAAAATAAAAAAACGATTTGAATTTATGTTAAGAATGTATTAAAAATGAGAATAAATATGTATTTATATACGTTTGGTAGAGAGGAAATAAGTGGTGAGAAATAAAAAGTTGAAAAAGAAAAAGAACAAAAAAAATATTTTATTAGAAAGAAAAAAAAAAAGAGATATTAGAAGATGCATACCCAATTACATAGATGTGAGGGTCGGAAGGAGACGTGAGCCAATTCCTCAAACTCAAACCTTCCTTGGGTGATTTCCCTCCCACATTCCACGTTCCCACGAACATCCTATAATTCCTCAATCATTTTCACAACTCAATAACTTATTTACCCAAATAACTGCACACACACCACTTTTATAATCTTTGAATAGCCACACATTATTTCAACGAAGGGTTTGATGCAAGTATTACCTAAGGTTCATAGCTCCAGTGCCACTTTCAGGACTTGATTGCTTCCCAAGCACCAAACCTTTCATTCCACTCTTCCCCTCTTTCAAAACAAATCCACCAATTATAAGTCATAACTACTATTAAACCTAATTAATCAAATTCACGCTAGGCTTAAACTCATTATCATCATTCAAAATCAACACATCATTTCATCTCACGGCTTAGACGTGTACTGTTCGTAAGTTACCTGAGAAATCATCATCCGGTACGGCGACGTAACGATCTTCGTCTGAGAAACTCTTTCTTCTTTCCATCGCAGTTGCTGCGTCCACACATAGAAGAAAACAAACTCACGGTCAAGGTTTAACACCAAAAGTGAAAACCAAACGCAAATTCAAAACCGATAACGACAATTGAAGAATCGCGTTTCACCTGTTGCATCGTAGTCTGACTGAAACTTCTCAGCACCGTTCTTCGTATTGAGCCACTTCCTCATGGCTAATTTAGGCCACGAAGACTGCATCCCGAAAATTAGAATTGAAATAAATAATCGTTTCGCGAACAACGAGAGAAGATGAAAATGAAAAGGAAAAAGAAAGAAAATAGCGTGGTGGTGCATGTGCTTACCTTGGATAACTTCTTCGACTCTGTCTTCATTGCTGATGACTTAAAACTGAGACAAATTAGAAAGCAATTAAATGATGAGGAGAAAGAAAACGATAAAGGAAACATAGGTGGCGGCAACGTTTTAAGATCTAGATCATCCAAATCCTAGAGGGAATGTTTTATATTCCATTTGGTGATTTTTTACTAATTACGGGATGTCATACATGGAAAACAAAAATAAAGAAAATTATGTGGATCTAGATATTTATTTACTTATCCAAGAAAATTATGTCAGTGTTTAAAAATCTTAAACAAGCGGTTTTCAATTGCAATATAAAAGAACTAGTTGCAGGGGAAACAGAGACAGCTTTTGAGACAACAAAAAAAAAATATAACCTACATGAAAAATACACAAAAGGTTGGGTTCTTTGAGTTACGCAAAGTTTTGCACTTTACAGAAAACAGTGAAGAGATGAACTACTAAAGAACCATAAAAAGTTTGGGTTTTGGTACTTTTTCCTTCGTCTTTAGGCTTGTAATAATTAAAAGGAAGTTTGTGATCTCGATGAACGTCCATTGAAAAAGTGTAGCTTTTCTGACTTCCTCTGTTGTAAAGAAAAACTCTTGAAGGCATAATTTGATCATTAATTGACTGAAGAAAACCAAACCGAAAGAAAAAGTGAAAGGTCTCTTAATTCTGAAAGTCTTTTGAGGAGGCTGGAGAAGAATAAGATGCAGAGAATAAAGAACTAAGTTACAAGCAGAACAAAATGCAAATCAAAGGTTACTGAAAAGTGAGTCAACGACATTGCTAAAAGAGACCGTTCTTCACAAATTTGAAAAGAGGGATGAAAAAGAGCAAAGAACGTAGTGATAGTAGTTAATGGTGATTCTAAAAGAAAATGACAACTTAAACCGATGAAGCTACCCTATAAACCAGGGTTGGAAGATCACTTACAAGAATGGACCAAGGTTTCAGTTTAACAGTGGTGATTAGAGACTCTCTCGCTTTCTAGTCCAAGCTTCAACTTCCCTTAATTTTTTGTTTATGATGTAATTAGAGAGAGTTAGAAGAGAAAGAATAAGTGAGTGTCGGAAGGTCCTGTTAGTTTTGCTTGGTTCCGTGGATTGAGAAAGAATGCAGAGAAAGCTTAGGTTGGGGCGTTTTCAGGAAAAACAAAAGAGTTATGCGGCTATCAAAATTTATACATGTACGGAGATTTAAGATTCAAGATTCCAGAGGAAAAGAAGAGTGGGTAATTCTTTTTCATGATTTTTAAAATAGTAATTATTAAAATATTATATATATTATATATTGAGGCTATTTTTAATATGTTATAATTGAAAAAAAGACTAAAAAATATAATTATAATGCTGTGATTAGTTTTCATTGGTCTTAAAATCTAGAAACGTGGAGGAGTAGTTTTTTGAAAGATGAATCTTTTGGAAATCTGAACTGAGGAGAAGAGATTTCATAAATCAGAACATGAAAATATAAAATTGTTAAAACTTTTAATTAATGATTGATTTTGCAATGGTGGGTGTTGTGGCCTTTACGCATTTGCAAGAGCAAAGAAACGTTGCTGTAGTGGTTAAAGTAACTGAACCACTCCAATCTTAACCGTACACCTATCAGCTTTGAACCGTACTTGATCCAACGGCCAGGGGAAACTTTGTACTGGGTACTGTCTGTCTCTCATTATCCACGTAATCACAATTAATTAAACATAATAATAGAATTATGGTGATAATGACTTAATGATTACTGGCGGAAATACAGTGTCGCATTTTTTTCTAAATATTTATATTAAACTCATATATTATGAATATGCATACATTTACATAAACATTCACTTACACACCACCCCTTACATTTTTACGTTGTGAATTTACAAATGTTAATAATTTATATTATCATACAAATATTTATAAAAATGGACACGCATGGATGTAACTATTATACATGCTCACATCTTTCTGTACATATCTGAAACATCCACTCACATACTGTATGCACATATTCATATTACAAATATTCATATTACAAGTAGAATGATACTTATGTTTTTTCTAGATGCTATAATATAGTTAATAGAATATAATATGATGGAAATATAGTTAATTATGTTGAATATTATTAAAATCATGTAATATTTATAGAAAATTAAATAAAGTAAGTAGAAAAAGAAATGAATTTAATTATTATTTTTTAAAAGAGAAGAAAGTATAAAATATTTAAAGTCAGGAAATAATATAATAATTTGTGTGTTTATTCATGATTTTAATAAACCATAAATATTTGAGAAAAAAATTATATAATAAATCACATTTATGTATTTAAATATAATAAAAATAAAGAATATGAATATCTTATTAAAATGAAAATAAGAAGATGAATAAGAATTTCATAAAATAAAGACAAAATTGAGATAGTATTTACTGTAAAATTAAGTATTAAATAATAGGATAAAAAAATATAATAAAGATAAACATGTAACTTATGTAAAAATAATATTTACTTTTAAATAAAATTATTTAAATTGTTACACTGTTATAAAATTTATTAAACTTAAATCTTATCAACAAAAATAAAAGACTAATTTTCTCTATCTCAATTGTTGAATGAATAAAAATTTAAGATTTATTAAATTTTTAGTGTGCTGATGTAACCTTTTATATCTATTTTTTTGGTTATGTAATTGTTATACCTGAATTTATATTTAAAGTAAAGAGATAATTAAAAATATGTTTGATATAATATAATAAGTTTATTTAATAAATTATTATAGATGGTTTTAGTTTTCGTATTTTATATTTTTGTTTGCATACAGTATTTAATTATGATTCCACAAAACAATATAAATTATATTAATTACTTTAATTTTTATAACTGAAATATAAATATAATTATTAAAAATACAACTATTGATATTTAACATTATAAAAATAATTCAAAAACTATATTTTAGTTTATTTTTTTCTTCAGTTATTAATTGTATTTGAATTTTATTAAAAAAAAATCAAAATAATGATTATTTTGACACAGAGAAAATATATTTAATACAAGGTGAGATGCATATCTTAATTAATACCAACATGTGCCCTACGTTGTATCCTTCTTGGTATCAGTTTTCCATGCCAGATGCATAGTGTCCTGTTTGGTTAGGGTGTTTTATTACGAGAGTCCTACCTGTTGTTGAATAGTACTTGTGTATGTCTCATTCCTTTCTTATGTTTTAAATTTTGCATGCCAAACTTATCAATAGAGAAAGAAAAGACAAAAATGTAATAAAGTGAGAAATGAAATGATAAATGGAAAAATAAAAATAAGAGTGAAGTGTTTTAATACACAGGAAAATATATGGTTGTTATAGTGATGAGTCACAAGTAGTTAAGTGTGTTTAATAAGATTTGGATTGAGCAAGAGTTAGGTCTGATGAAAGATTAGCTGGGCCTGTATCACCTCAGATTGAAGGCTAAGTGCCCTAATCATGTTCCCCATTTATTCAACAAGTTAAGATGAGTTTGAGAGTGAAAGAAATATTTGATACGGTTGAATGAAGTGTCATGTTCAAGCATTGGTACGTGGTCCGTGTGTCAAACTCTTAGCAGATACCTAGATTATGTATCATGCCTGCCTGTAACCTACCCCATCAATGTGCCAAGTAATTAGCTATGATATTCATTAAACAAAACAAACCATTCGTACGAACAAAACAACTTAATTCAATTTATAATATTGCCAGGTTAGAAAGCATATCTATACTAAATTTTGTTACCACGTGTTGGTTGCGAGCTCTTATACTATCATGAGATATCATGGCTGTCATCACAAAACGAAAGGTAAAAAAGAGAAAATAAAATAGAAAGAAAAAGTGAAAAATTTGAATACTATTGAAAATAACATAAGTTTGTACAAAAACTAATTTTATGTGAATATAGGAAGAAAACACGGAAAAGTGAAGATAACGTGTATATGACATGAATCGAATGAGACAATTGACAAGTTGATCGGTCGAATCATAATCAAGATTAGATATCGAACATAATTAAGCTAACTTTGAATCAGGTTATTAGCATATGGGTTGTAATTGGACCAACACTAATCAGAAGTTTATTACAAAAGTTTATAAGTACACTTTTGATATTTGAGTAGTTGGTCACTTTTATTACGCATTTATTGTTAAAATATTCTCACACACTAATTTTAGTATCAGTGTGTTTTGTACAGGTAGCATCCGATAAAAAAAAAAGAGAGATTTGAAGACTAAACTGCAACCTAAGCTTGGAGTTTGTAGATTATTTGAGCAAAAAATATTAACTTCGACTTCATAACCAAAACATAATTGTTATAAAAGCTCTAAGCGATGTGTAGTCGAGTTGTACGGTCTAATTATACTGAACTATATAGTCAAATTATACTATCGAGTTGTGTTGCTAGACTATACTGAACTTATCATTTTATTTGACTTTGATATCATCTTAATCTAATTTAATCTTATAAAAATAATATATACAATAAGTTTTTTTGTAAATCTATTTTATATTATCTTTATGTAATTCAATCAATATTATTATGTTTGTTTGATTTCTAAAAAGTCTAAACGTGACGATAGAATTTAACAACCTTTGAATCTAAATATTTTTATCCATTAAAAAGCTACCCTTTTTATGGTGACTCTTAGATGTATTTAATATGAATGCGCAAATGAAACTCTTTTAATTCAAAAACCTAGTACGAAAAATTATTTCGCATTCGTGGATAAACTAAACTCTTTCAACGTGAGCAAAGTAGATGTGATGACGATGAATGCCTAATTCATTATGTATATACACTCACAGATTGGCACCTTCTGCCTCACGGATTAACAAGCAACGTGGTACAAAAAAAAATTGTTTAACTTAATGGATCAAACAAGGTATACTTTCATGGCGAGGACACGTAAACTAATTAGTCATATTTTTATTGGGACTTTGTTGACAGACGCACGAAAAATTTAAACTTTTTGACCAAAAAGATCAATAGAAAATTGCTAGATTGCAATATCTTGGCCGGTTCAATGTAGATAGGGTTTGTTATATTTCTTATGCTATGAAGATAGTAACAGAATAGGCAAAAAATAGTATATTAAGGCACATCTTAGGATTTGAAATCTAACCTGATGTTAATCATCATTAATTAATTAGTTGTCGAAGAATTAGGACGCATGCCACACAAATGAATTGTCTCTTATAGAGCAAGAAGCTGAATTTCATATGTTGTGCATCCAAGGGACTTGCTTTTACAGCTATCACTAACTTTTGGATTAAGTTTTCACATTCTAACTTCTTTTCTTTTTTTAAATTTTAGTTTTGGAAATTGTTATTCTCCATATTAAACATCAGTTTTGTGACACGTTGTAGAAAAACCCTAATTATACTGTATAGAGACTTCTCCCTTTCCCTTTTTGAAATATAATTCAAGATCATCCTGGAACCAAAGTTTTTATGACATCCATGTTGTGGACATATAAGTTCTTCCAACATTGTAAGACAGAAAGATATATCCTACGAGATTTAGAATGTTATTTCTACTTATCTGGTTCAAAATATTTGGATATTCAGCCCGTAACACTTGAATTTCAACATATTTAAAAACAAACTTTAAGATATTCAGAGCAAATTATATACTTTTAAGGATCATCGAACAATTCAAA